CACCCAATGTCTCTTTACGAGCGTCAGGGTCCAGGTTTAACCATATAATAACAGTAATTGACGTTCGAACTGACGACAATGGCCGAGTGGTGCGAGGCGCTCTCGAAAGTTCTCGAACGGTAGCCTAGATCAGGAATGGGCAACCTCTGCTCTGAGAGCATATCGTGTTCCCGACCTCTATTAGTGCATAACAAGGGGCAAAGGGGAGACCATTGTGTCAAGTGATGGGCCTTTATAACCCAGGTCGTAAAGGCCTTTCTCTTCAGCTGAAATCAACCGAAGTGGGGGTGACACTTAAGAAAAGGAAAAGAGGAGAAATGTCGCTGAAGAAGAGGAAGGGCGGGAAAATGAGTCAAAAATAGAAAATGTGAAATTTTCTTCACCATGACGTTTTTATTTATTTTGAGAGCAGACGTTACAAATAACATGTAAAAATCGACTGTTCAATTTCAGAGGCAAGGAAACAATTCTACAATGTCATGTTCTAGTGGTCCTGCAATTATTTATTCAAGAAATGAAATTAATTGAAGTAAAAATGTTAATTGAAGAAAATTAAAAAAAAATATTTTTTTCAAAAAATATTCATTCTTTATATTCAAAATCAACATCGGCCGGTAAAAACTGCAATGTTCGGTATTTTTTTTTTCACATATTTTTCGGTAAGGTCGTTATTGGACCAAAAATTTAAAAAGAAGGTTAAAAGATGTCAATAATTCGGGAAGCTGAATTTTGAGAGTAATTTCACGTTTTTAATAATATATTAAATATATATATATATATTAAAATAATTATTTTCATATTCAGAAGTATTTTTGTCCATGTGTGAATTTTTTAATTTCCTTTTATATTAATCGCGGCGGCAATTTTGCCCATTTTATCATTTGGCAGAGGCGTCATAGGACGCTCCCCAAAACGATGACTGTGAGGCCCCCTACTACTGCTCCCACTATGGTCGTACTAGAACCCTTATAATTGGCATGGTTATAAACTTTATTGGATTCCTAACTCGAGCCTATGACTCTGTTCCACGCTACCTGGAACTTGCCCATCACTGGTCTAGTTCAGGGCCCGGCAACCTTCAGGTAGTCGGGAGCCAGCCTATTACAAGGGTCGGGATAATCCCCTCATCTTAATGGGTACCCAATTAGCCAACCATTGTGTGCGAGTAAGTCATAGTGGTGACGATATTTTCGTCAGCCACGTAGATTGGCGTGCGAGTCGAATAAAAATGGCTGACTCGCCTGAATTGGTGCAAAATTTCAGTTTTTAATTTTCAATCTAAAATTGAAAAATGACAATGAAAAACATTGGAGATTATATTTCTGAAAAAGTTGTCGGCAATTATTAATGGCATTTCAAATATTGGAACTCTAAATGTAAAAAATGAGAATGTGCCACTGTCAATTTAGGAATATATTCCTGGAAATTTCATTGCAGATTTTTATATTTGAATTTGAATTTGCTAATTTAAAAATGAACTTCTTTATTCATAACATGAGGAAATAAATGTTCACATTATTTCTCGGGTGGTGTGTACCTTCTAAGTTGTAATTTCGGTGGAAGGATAGCATTTGGAACTAGAAATTTGTAGAAAATAATTTGAAATGTGAAATACAAAAACATGAATATATTTTTAATTAATTGCTCAATGGAAATCGCGAGAACGATACGATAATGCACCATACCTGATACTCTAGAAGATAAATAAAAAAAAAAATGAGTAATTCAGTAATTCATGAGCAATCATGGAGAGTGGTCTGAAACGTAAAAATACCAAGTTTGATGACCATGTGTGTACATGCAGATGGTCAACTGAGGGTCAATTTATGAAGGAGAATAGCCTGGTAAATTAATTCCCGAAAATCTCAAATTTGGTCAGTTCATAGGCGACGCTTAATATAGACTTGATGTGTGATACATTTCAGACCGATCGGTCTCATTCGTAACTGCTAAGGCTTTCCCGTCCCTGTTCTCATCGTCAGCCCTTTGAATTCGTATCAGAGTCATATTTATTTTCCCAACAACAACTATTTATCCACGGATTATTTACTTTATTTGGTAAAATTATCGCTCCACCTCAAAATTTTGGACAATGGTTCTATTTTATTTACTGAATTACTGCAAATAAGGTCTGGACACTAACTAATTGTCAGGAATCACTCTTCATGAAAGCATTAAAAAAAATCTTTTGCCTGATATTAGTACCTATTTAGAACGAAAAACTGATATTTATATTTCAAATTTATGAAAAATTGAAAATTCCCAGTCGATCACACGATTGCCCTCTGTCGGTATCGGTCGAACCGAGCTCATGGAGAGGGTAAAATCGAATTAGAGCAGCTAGTTTCGTTAAGTGGATGAGGCCTTTCTCCTAATTCTCACTAACGAACCTCGGGAGCTGCGTGAGTCCGATGAGCCTAGGTTGCCGGACGCTGGTCTACTTGAACGAAAGATGAAATTGTCGATTCTAGGTATTTCCGCTTTATTACAAAGAATTTTATTACTCACCCTTTTAAGATAATCAGAGTTAACTGACCTGTATAAAAAGACAGCAGATCTTAGACAATTTATTTCGAAAGCTCTGATTTTTTTTGTTTGAGCATCGCCCACATTAAATAATATTTATGCCATCGGTGCCCGTAATCGCGCCATTCTAACCTCACCTCGCTCGATTAAATCGCGGATTCCGGGCGCGATGACATAAAATTTTGTATGAAACGCGTGTGTAATATACTATTCTAAGGTATATATATTAAGGAAGGCCTGATAAGTAGAAGATAGCAAATTATTCGAAGCACGCTGCCTATCAACCAGCGCGCCTTTTTGAACAAGAGTACTATCATCTGTTTTATTGCTATTGATTCATAACAATTAACCGTCAAGAAGATGACACTCCCCATTCATTTATTTTTTTTCTAAATGCCGTATCCGATTCATTATTCTAAAAGGTTCACAAAAAATTCAAAACAATTAATTAAAAATTTTTATTTAGATCCACAAGTTAATTTTTTTTAATGGGAATATGTGAAAAAAATAATTTTGACAGAACAATGGAATGGTTTACTGATTCATGATTTCAAAGAGACTCTGAAAATGAGAATTCTGCGGAGTAAAATAGGGATTAATGATTATTTGCAATTTAAAAAAACTGGTAGAACCGAACCCGGTAATTAGGTTTGAAATGTTGCTTTCCCACCTTCTTCCGAATCTCCTTAATTTGAAATTAAACATCCGTATATCCTCCTTTTTGATCACCCTGGTGTTACTTAATTTTATTGAAAAAAAAAACATTTCGTGACGCAGAGGACTACATCCCCACTTTTGACTAGTCCTTCTGACAACGGGACTGCTACTGAGGAATCTTTGAATTGGCTAACGGGCCGACACCCCAGCATTGCGTCTGGCGCCCTCCCTCTTTTGGTGTGAGGTACTACGATGTCGCTGGGGTCGCTCAAACTCCCAGAACTGAGCATCTACTTTAGTCAATCCTCTTTGCGACGATCTGTGACATCTAGTCGCGGTTTTGGCACCGGCAACGACACGTGCAGGAGGATTTTGGGGAGGTTTTCGGAGGATCAAGAGAAAATGTAGGGATCGCGAGGAGTTTTTTTTTCTGTCTATAGTGCCCTGAGGACTCGGCGAGTGCATTCGCTTTTCCTCATGGCGGGTTTCGGGGTGGGTTTCATGGTGGGTTTATGGTGGATTTCGTGTTGTGCGCTTTTCCTCTCATGTCACGGGATTTGGTAACAAATTAATTTTCATTTCTGTTCTAAGTGCATAATACGCCATGCCACGTGATGGTGAATTTTCCACAGGGAATACCGTGTTCCCATTGTCGCGATATTCGGAGTGGAAAACGGCGACCCCCGTACCCCAAAAATTCGGAAAAGCAAATCAAGGAGTTGCGTTCAGTATGAGAATATGAGAATATGAGAAACACAGGAGTTAGGTAGCGACTGGCCGTTTTTCTTTAAGTTGCTTTTTCCCTTTCCTCCTTGCCTTATGGCCCTGCGGTTACATTCCGCCAAGAAAAATGTGCCACCTCTGTCCTTATAATATTTTGGGAAAGCCCTGCGGTCAATGGGTTAATCTTCGCGCGAGTTAGTTACCGCTATCCGTTCGCGTTATACTATCCCTTTTGCGTGTCGAGTCTGGGGAATGCGCGTTCTCGTTACGCACCGTGCCACCGGCAAACATCACTGGGATTTTAGCTGCCATGTGCGACTGGAGTTTTGCTCGCGTTTATGCTGGACTCAGAGCCGTCGTGAGCTGCACGAGTGCCGGTAGTTATATTTTTGCGGGAACGTTTTCGACTCTCCATTCGTGAAATCTCAGCGCGAGGAGTCCGTTTGACTTGGAACAATTTTGTTTTTTTTTTTGAAGAGCGAATGCCCGTAGTGGCGAAAGCCTGTAACTCTGTCTCTCTCTCGATGCCTTGTGTAGCTCACGCCCAACCTTCGCTAATTCCTTGCAGCCTTATTTTCATTATAGTAATTTTTCTATTATTCGGTATATCTTGCGGATTCGCCGAGGACATCTCTTTCCTCTTCCCACCTTCTTTCAGGTTTTTTTTTTGTTTTCTATGCCTATCTCTTGTTTCTGTTATTTTGTATAAACGCCCCAAATATACGTACAGTTTTGATTCAATTACTCGAGTCCTTTTTTTTCCGTTTCGGTTTAAGCTCCCGGAATCTCGGACCTGGTTTCCACCTAAACTCACCCTTCTCTCCACAACCTCAGCCCTGAGCAGCTCGGGAACGCACCACCGCTCCTCCGATCGTCTTGTTTTTAATCTACGTTTTTGGTTTCGGTTCTGCGGATTTGGGTTTCGCTTTGTTTTCATTCCGGTTTGTTGTTTCCGATTCACGTTGCACAATGCATAAACATTCAATATTTACTTTTAGTCGATTAATAAAACTTAAATAAACTCATATGAAAATATATTAAGAAAAATATAATATAATCTGTAATAAAAAGTTCATTTTAATACTTGATTTTAGGTATTTGTATGCGATGATTATAGTCTCCCCATTGACTTTATCAACAAGCGATGTTCACCACCTGTATTAGAGGTCGAGGCACCAAACCAAGGCACCCTTCCAAGTGCTTATATCGGTAAAGTAAGTACACATTTTTAATTTCTGCTTCCTTCGATCGCGTCTAAAGTTACAAAATATTATAAGTAAAGAGGTCAAGCCAGCTGGAACATTTTCGTTACTGATTTTCGTTATCGGTAGAATACGTTCGTTACCGACCAACCAGGGATCCAACAAGGAGCCTTCCATAATTATTTTATTTTTGCTCTTCCTTTCTACCAGAAAAGATTAAATTCTTCTATAAATATATAGTTCAAGTCCGCCAAAGACAATAATCATTGAAGTAATAATTCCTCATATGAAAACTCCATTTGAAACCTCTCAGTATACGGGAATTGAAGGGAGGTAAACTCTGTCATCCCTGACATTCTTTAAGGCCCCCCTTCCCTGCTATCGCTGTTGTGACCATGCGTGAGTGATCTATATATTTTTTTCATAGTCCGGCCCTTTCTGTTTCCCTTTTTGGCTAATTGGCCCTACACATGTAGCTGTGGATCCTACACTGTACCGTATTCACTCTCCTATACACCATGGGGGCGGTGCTGCCATCACAATAGCACGGATATTCTTATCGGTAACGTTTCCTGCAGCGCGCTAAATTCAAATGTCACCAACCAAGCTGTCCAGGTAACACCTAATCTGGACCGTTCGCCATTTGAGTGCCCGCCTCGTCTAACGTGGAACAATTCCCGGAGTGGGGAACCCAGTATTCCGACACAGCAGTCTCATTGGAAGCTGGGGTTCAGAACTTTAAGATCAACTTCGCACTGGAGGATAATTAATGCATCCAGTCGCTACCTCAGATAGTCTTTGTTGCTGGTAGCCGAATGTGTTATAACTAACAGATAGTGTTAAAAATCGCATTACGTTTTGCGGCTTCCGGGCGGCTGGACGATCGGTTATTTCTCAAAAGGGCGACCCCCAAAACTGAATTGACCGCGACCAGTTACGTCTAAACGGATGCCGAAGTTAAATGGGCTCGTAATGTGTGGGATAAAACACTGAAGTGTACCATGCTAGGTTACGCAGGAATTCTGATTAGTGAGAGAATCACGCAGAGATAGAGGGAAAAACCTTCTACTGATTAATTTAGGAATATTTATTGGGGTACTAAACCACAGGATTATTACAACAATCCAAGATAAAACCGCTCAATTTGATGGGAGAAATAGGTAACACTGAGGTGAAAGAAGAATTACAGTTGATTCAAGAATTACAGTTGATGATAAACAGGTAAATAGAAGCTGCGCGCGATCACTCAGTCGCGTTGCGGCAGACTCGGCGGTTCCCTCGAAGGTTGAAGGGGTAGAACTCGGTGATTTCTCGGAGATGAGACGATTCTCGAGGTGTGAAGATGAGGTCGACGAACTCGGAGGTTCGTTGCGATAATGTAGGTGTACCGGTCGTTCACCTGGCAGGTGAGAAGGTGTCGACCCGGAGGTTCGGGCGGTGCAATAAAAGATCCCAATTTTCCGTCGGACCAGGGGTGGCGGCTCGGCTTCTCGTGGACCTTCGATGTCGGATTAATTTTTATGGTTCAGTCAACTCTCATTCACTAACAAAACAAATATTTTGTGTAGTTTGGTTACACTCTTTTGAGGCTGGACTGTGTCAATAGGTCTGTCAGCAGGTACTTGTCACTCCGTATAAGTGTTGTCCTCTTAAACCCGTAATGGATGAGTGCAGGGGAGTCCTCGTTGTCAATTTAATTTCTTGTTGCTTACGTGACTCCGGCGTGGCAATTTCTGAAGTGCATTGGCTCAACTAGCCCGCAATAGATTCACGCGACTCAGGCGTAATTGTGGATGAAGACGGTCTATGTAAAAATGTATGCCGTATGAAGGACGGCGGTGCTCCATATAGGCAAGAAAAATGAATAGAAGAAATGGCTAGGAGCCGGATAGCTCAGTTGGGAGAGCACCCGATGCATAATCGGAAGGTCCCGGGTTCAAGTCCCGGTCTGGACTATCCATTTTTTCAGTAATTTTTCTCG